TAATCAGTATATAATTTATGTATTGCGCCTAAGAAAAGTAAATAGAAAATCCAGCCACCTATTTGTGTTTAGATCTCTTATTTAAAATCAAAAGTGTTGCCCCGTTTATTAAATATAGAGGACACACGTTGTTAATTATCTTGTAGTAATCACGCAAAACTGAAATATATACTCTCATAGGGCTACGTCTATATTCATATTAATGCTCCAATGGGTTTATGTCTCGTATTGTAGGCTGCACCATGTCTTTTCCTATACCATCATTGTGTACTAAACATTCTCTTCTGTTAATAGCTTATTATTTATTAAACAAAATAGAAATTATATCATTTTGATTCTAATAGTAGAATCAATATAATTACTCTTAATTCTGTTACATCTTTCAAACTTCTAGAACATGTAGACTGTAGTAAATGGGAAGTAACAAATTTTTGATGATGTTCCATTATTATAAACAAGCTGAACTATATTCTTGCTAATGAGACCTAACTCAAAAAGTAAGGTTAAAACCCAAAAACTTATACGACTCTAGTCCAATTCTCTTCCTCACATAAGATATTATTGGTAAAGCTGCAGCAATATAACATTATATTTCCGATTTATTTTGCTTAGACTCGCAAATAATTAATTAGAAACAATCTTAAAATTAAGATGCTATATATTAGGGTTGTGTCACCATTAATTAGTTAGTGACTTAGTTCCCTTTGCAATTTCTCTCCCTAATGACTTTTTTCCTTCAAGTCAGAGTTAAATCATTCAATATAACACGGTATTATGCTTGATATATAGCTAGAACTATTTTTAACATTTTCTCGATCTGCTCCATTTAATGTGACACTCTTTTCTTTTTGGTCTGTTTTACAAAATAGAAACGGACACCTTTCTAATATATTTAAAATTCTTTAGCTTCAAACTTTCTATTTTACCATTAATGATATGTTCTTATAGTCATAGAAATATCATGATATTTGTAAATCATAAGTCTAAGGGTATTTTCGGTATATACGTAATAAAAAATTCCTTTCTTTCTTAAATTTCATACTCAATCAAACACCACCATACAAAATGAAACACATGAAATAATAGGATTGTGGAGTTAGTTCTATAGAACACATAATTATATTATGTTGAAGCACCTAATTTAGGTTAACTATTTGAATTTATGTCTTAGCTTTGAATATAGACCACTCCACTATCAAAACAAAAGTCAAAACTTTTCCTAACATAATTTCTCTCTATATATATATATATACACGTACTCACTTATTTCCTTCTTAATATCAATCCATATATCTCTCTCGTTTCATTTCACTCCCTACACAAGAAAATTATGAAGAGTGTAAAAATCTTTTTTTGGTTAGCCATCATAATGGCATTAGTTATAACTCATACAGAAGCATTTTCATTCGACGAACCTAATGACAATCCAACATTATCTTTTCCAAGATTTGGAAATTTTCTACCACAAATACCATCTTATCATCATCAACAACAACAACCCAGTGTAATCCCATAAGTGGAGTCTGAGGAGGGTAGGATATATACAGCCTTGCCCCTACCCTGGAAGGACAGAGAGACTGTTCCGATAGACAAATACCATCTTATCATCACAAGTTGAAAGTCAAAGAAATTACACGTATGACATGCAACGTCAACCCTGTAATATGTTGGGCCAAAGGTAGCCCAGGGCCATTCTGCTGCAAAAATTAAGAAGTGTGTAAATGTGTTGAATGACAAACAAAATTGTGGATTTTGTGGGATGAAATGTAATTAAGTACAATGAAACTTGTTGTAAAGGCCAGTGTGTCAACATTTTGTTTAATAATAGGCATTGTGGGAATTGCAATAACAAATGCCAGAAAAGCAGTTCTTGTGCTTATGGAATGTGCAGCTACGCTAATTAGACTTTTACTACTTATAAATTAGGATGATTAAATCATTTATTTGGATGTAGAAAATACAGTTTAATAATATTGTACTGTTTCATTCTATTAATAATTAATTTGTTGATCGTATAACGAGTAAAGCTATGCTAGCTACATTATATTATTTGTCTGTTTGTTCTAGTAGTACTTTCTTCTTGAGCTTATACGGCTAGCTTAAATCTTTTAGTTGTAATCTTTTTGGGAATTAATGATCACTTCATGTGATCTTCCTATATAAAAAAGGGAAAAGGTCCAAAAATATTCCTAAACTATGTTATATAGCTCACTTTTGTCCTCCGTTAGTAAATTGGGCCAAAAAAATCCTCCCCGTTAGCACAATGGGCCACTAATGCCCTTCAACCTAACGGCCCTCCACACAAGCCATTTTAATCTTACATGGCATCCACATAGCTGTGACATGGCAGCCACATAAGCAGAGCAGCCTAATAAACCACTCCGATTCCAATTCCAAACAAAGATCAAACAAAGGCCGTAAACCCTATTTCCAAACCCAATTTCCAAAAAAGATCCAATTTCTTCCTAGACTGTTCTTCCATGGCGATTTGAGAGTTGAGGTTAACAACGCAAATTGAAGATCATCTGAAGATATTCAAATCTCCAAATTTCTGTTCAATGTGTGATATATATGTGAATGCGCATGAAATTCAATACGCAAGAAGGTGTCATTGCGGATTGATTGCGCTATATTTGACAGCTTGGTCAGACGCCAATGCTGGGAGAAGGTTCTACAAATGTCCAAGATCCAAGGTTAGTTTTGAATTTATTTTGTTTTTGGTCGATTTATGTGATTCATCTTCTTTTGTCGAGTTAGGTCGTTCTTGATTTTTATTGTTTATGTACAAAACCAGAACTGCTGTAAATTCTAATAATCGTGTAGGTTAGTTTTTGCGGGTATTTTGAATGGATTAACGAAGAGCTCGCTCGTCAAGCGGTGATGATGATCAAAGATTTAAAAACTAAACTTGATGGTGCTAAGGTTGAGAGGAACAATTTGAGGAATAAAGTTTACCTCATGGAACAAGCTACGATCGTTCAAAGGGGCTCTAAGAACTTGTTTGATGAAATGGAAGATGTTATGACGGTTGAAAGGCATACTTTGAATATGAAACTTGACGAAATGGAGCAATTTCAACTTGTGGAAGCTGAAATAGCTAGTAATTTAGAGGTCAAAGTGAAGAAGATGAGAAATATCATTTTGGTTTCATGGGCTTTATTATTTGGTTTGGTTGTCGTAGGGATGATGAAGTGAATGTATGTTGTTTTAATATGTTGTTGTAGTATTTTGGTTTAGTTATAGGGACGATGAAGTGAATGTATGTTGGTTTAGTATGTTGTAGTATGTTTCCAACTCTTCAAAGTGATGATAATTGCAGTTTATTTAGTATGTTTAGTATGTGATGTGGTTTTAGCTTGTCTGTTTAATTTTGGGGTCATGATACTCTTAATCTCCCTGTCTTTCTTTCTGAAGTAGTTGTTTTTAGGTGGGATTAAGATATGTGTTAGACAACTGGTAATTTACTCTATCAGAGTGCTCCAGATTAGGATGAATTCTGAAGTGGACTCCTTGCACCTTGAGTATTTTATCTTCTCTGGCAGGATGATTGCATTGGCCTTAATGCATAAAGTACAAATCAGCATTGCATTTGATCGTCTGTTATCTTCCTTTCTGAAGTACTTGTATCTTCTCAATTGTTTTCCCTTGCTGTCCTTTGGTTCACCGCTACTCCAATCACATCAGCCAGGTAATCAGATAAAGATTATGAAATAATGATCTAAGGAGTTCAAGTCTTATATATAGTGATTCTACCTGAAATCATTCTCATTAAGACTACTTGGATTGTACACCATATATATGAGTTCGGAGATATTTCCTCCATGAAGTTGTTTTTACAGTAGCACCAACTTTGTCACTTTAGATTCATTTGCAGCTTCTGGATTGATCTGAAAGTTGCAGCTTATGAATTCTGCCTTCCACTGGTTAAATCACATGTTCATGAACCAACAACCTTGGAAAATAACAAAACAAAACACTGCTGTGCAAACTAAACCAAAAAACTGTCCAGCACTGTCCAGATTTGCAAAAGAAAGCACTGCTGTAAACAACACTGTCCAGATTTGTAAAAAAAACACTGCTGTAAACAACACTGTCCAAATTTGCAAAACACAGCTGTAAACAACACTGTCCAACACTGTCCAGATTTGCAAAAAAAATACTGTCAAAACAGCTGCAACAAAACAGCACTGCTGTGCAAACTAAAATGTTGTAAAACATTAGTACTGCTGTAATTTTAATTGGACTGCTGTAATATTAAAATATCAGTACGGCTGCTACAAAACAACACTGTCCAGCCATCAAAACATGTTTACAAAACAACTACTAAACCAAATAGCACTGCTGTAATATTACAGTACAAACCAAAACATCAAAACAAAAGGGTTCTGTGAGTTCCCAGATTTGCAACTACATACAATAACCAAGATTCCTAGATTTGTGAGTTCCCATTGAGTTTCCTGCACTTCAACTTCCCGACTTTCTTTTATCTTGCCACTTTCAATTGATTTTCAGTCACAACTTCTTTGCCTTTCCAAGTGAGCTTAGTAGGAGAGTAAGGAAGATCAGTGGGATAACTGACACCAGTATGATCTCCTTTGAAAGAGATGACTCTTGTTCCTTCTGAGGTCAATTGTTGCTGCCTCATCAGTAGTCGAGATTGATCTTCAGAAATAATCTTAGGCATTAAAGCAGGGTCACTTTCATGCTCACTGGTTCCATCACCAAAGGGTTCTGTTTGGTGTCTTGGTACTCTTGGTGTAGGCATGAAAACAAATTCACTTTCATGTTCACCTTCTTGTGTTGGTTGAGTTGGTTGAGGGGCTGAACAACTAACATCCTCAACATTTCCTTCAGCACCAACCTATTAAAAAGAAAAACTTTCTATTAAGTAATTGCAATTATATAAGAAGAAAGATAAGTTAAGCAGCAAGTACCTTGCATGTCCTTGAATTGTGGTCCAGTTCACCACAAATGCTGCATGTCATTCTAGTTCCCCTCCTTTATGCAGCCCAATCTCCTTGTCTCTTGTTAGCCTCATCTTTCTTCCTATTTCTTTTGACTTTTGGCCTTCCAACAATATTGGCAAGTGGAGGAGGGTCCATAGCATGTTCCGGTAATACTTTCCAGAACTTTTCACCTCTAACAGGCATCAACTTGGCCCTATATGTCATCAGGTAAGCTTCCTTGCTGTGCCACCAACTAATTTCAGTCATTGGATCTTCTCTCTCGTATTTTAGTGCCCTGATGGTATGAGGGCATGGGATGCCAGTCAACTGCCAGGATCTACAAGTGCATTTTTTCTCCACTAGGTTCACTGTATGTCTATCACCACCCTCAGAAACCTCATAGCCAGTTTCACCATTGAAATGAACAGCACATAAGTTGGCTACCTTCAAATAAGCAGCATACAACTTCATGCAGTTAGGACTAAACTCACCTCCCCATGTTCTAGCTTCTTCTTCCTTCTCTCTCAACCTGTTCATGACCTTGATTCTAATATCCTCAAGCATCTTCAGGATAGGCTTGCCTCTTGCTACTAAGATCCAAGAGTTGAAGGACGCTGTAAAATTATTGTCCACCATCTGATTTTTGCACAATGTATCAAAGTAGGACCTACACCAATTCTGTGGTGGATACCTAAGTAACTCCTTGGCAGCATCAACAGACAATTCACCAAGATTCTTTAGTTGATCTTTAAAGTCCTCCTCATAAGTGCTCCAAGCAGACCACCATAGGTATTTCTTCATCTCTCCTGAAATTCTGATCCTCTTACTCCAGTTGGCTTCAATATGCCTCACACAAAACCTATGATTTGAGAGAGGAAGGACAGTTCTTACTGTTTCCAACAGACCCTGCACATGTAAATTTAAACAGATTAACTATATAATAACTTAAAAATAACTGGAATAGTCGGTTAAACAAAATCATAAGTTGTACCTTTTGCATATCAGACATAAAGGTAATACTGGTTCCATCTTTCAGATTCAATGAGTGCTTCAGCAGCTCCAGAAACCATGTCCATGTCAAGGTGTTTTCCTTATCAACTACAGCCCAAGCCAAGGGATAGAAATGATTCTGACAATCTTGTGTAACAGCC